CACTCCCTCCTCGTGCTTCGGTCGACGTCACACACACACACACACACACACACACACACACACACACACACACACACACACACACACACACACACACCTTTAGCTGCAGACCTCAGTGATGCAGGCAATATAAACAAACAAGTTAAAAATAACTTTCTTCTCTAAATAAATTTCTCTGACTTAGAAATGAAACATTGATTTCAGCCTGACGTTTTCATAAAGAAAGACAACTTGTTCTGCACGAATCAATCCTACAATAAAGTGTTTGAAGTTTCACAAAATGCTTTTTATATGTTCTCGTACCGTCATGCCGTAGAGGGGCATCTGGCCGTGAACTTTAAACTGATTTGACGGGGTCATTCCTCGACTTGTGTACACCAAGGAATCACTGAACTGGAGAGAAAGGCAGAGGAAGTGGAGGTTAGATTTGTTAACGTTATTAGATTTATTTATAAAGTTGCTGTAAGGTCGTACCAAGAAGAACATCCTCTGCTGGAGGCCCTTTCCTGAGAGCTTGCTGAGGCAACCCAGCCTGATGAATTCCTGTAAATCAAACACAAGACATAATATAAAGAATATTTAAAAACTGAATGAAACTGAACCCATTTGCATCTGGAAGTTAGGTTAGGTTAGGTTAGGTTAGGTAAGGGAAGACTTCCCGAAGGAAATAGTTGTGCCAGTTACAAAGATACAATAAACACAGCATATAATGATAAACCTGTACACTAACAGAGCAGTAAAAAGAGAAATGAAATATCTACAGGAAACACAGACGGTGACATCTTTAATGTGAACGACCGTACAGTGACGAGCAGTGTTCAGGTGTTTAGGAAAGGTCACTGATAGGATGAAAGAGAGTCTCACCCTCCCGGGGATGGCGAGGTTTTCGATGCCGGTCAGATCCTTCTTCAGCTCCAGAAGCTTCTGGAAGTTCTCCATCTTCATCATGGCGCCTTGCAGCTGCAGCACCATCTCCGAGATGTCCGCCAGGCCCGCTAGATAATAAGATTCAGGAGGATGAAGAGAGGTCTTCAGTATAAAGAAGAATCATACAGCATGTCATTGGGCATCCAAGTACACACTGTGGACGCACCAGTGCACCGTAAAAGAAATATTAAGGGGAGAAACATGTATGGAAAGTTCAGTGAAACTATTTTTGGGGTTTTGGACTTTTGGTGGGACATTAAAAGCCAATTAGATGACCAAATAATATAGAGAATAATCCATAACAGTAAAACTATAGTTAGTGTAACCTTAGATTAAGAAAAGCCTGCTATAAAACTAATAAATACACACGAACACGAGAGAGAAAGAGAGAAAGAGAGAAAGAGAGAAAGAGACACACACACACACACACACACACACACACACACACACACACACACACACACACACACACACACACACACACACACACACACACACACACACAGGCTGATGAGGAGATGTTTTAAGAACAAAAAAGAACTATAATAACGAGTTTGATGTGTACACAAAAAGCCCCCTGTGTACCTCTGGAGTCCCTGAAGTCTTCGTGAGTCGGGGGGTAATGTTTGCAGAGCCTCTCCAGGATCAGTTTGTAGTGGAGCAGGCGATGAAGAGGACGGAGGAGGAAGATGTTGAGCGGCAGGTAGCAGACCCTCTGCTGCTCAAAGTCCCGACACACAGCCTCCACTTTCCGACTGGACCTGAGGAACAGAGAGGGAGGAAGAGCTGCTTTT